TTTTCAGTGTTGAAACCTATGAGCTTATGACGAGGTCTGGTCCCCACTTTGCCATGACATCATGGCCCTAAAGTAAGTCCCTGAATTCCATCGAAAAACTGGTCCAGTCAGCCAAGCCAGGAGGGAGGGGCTCTGATGCTGGAAGATCGTGGGAGGGGGCGGGGGCCCTAAAAGAAACCTCTCCTGAGTGGTTCTATGATTACATCCTCTCCTGAGCGCCACCGAGGACTCACCAGGCAGTTAACTGACATGCAGACTGGTTTTCTGAGTGGACTTGCCCTGCCTGAGGCACACCTGACCCTATATCTCAAGCCAGTCTTCTGCCTGGGGGGTACCATGTCCACCCCTGAGTGAGCTGCCCAGCAGAGCAGTCAGCCAGCCCTGAGGCCAAGCCCCCAGCTTTCCTGACCCCCAGACACCCAGTTAGCCTCAGGGAAGCTCAGGTTGTCAGACCCACTCAAACAAGGTGGGCTCCACTGCACATCCTGGGCCTCAGGCTCCTTATGTGCAAAATGAAGGATGTGATAAAACTGGTCTCTGAAGTTCCTGCATCCCCGAAGTTCTGTGACTGTGGGGTTCAGGCAGGGAAGTGGAGGCCAAACCAGGGCTTAACTCTTGGCCTCACTAAGAGCAGGACAATCTAAATTCTAAAAAGCCTGAATTATGGAATAATTACAATATATTGAATGTTTTCTTCATCCAACATATTGTACATGTATCTTGTATGCAAATTAACTGTTAGTTTAGTATTTAGAAGAAGAGGTCCTATGCGACCTGCTTTCATAAATACATTTCAGTTGGCAGTAGTTTCTTTTCTGCATGAAAATGGAATGTGCTGAGATTCTTTAAAAGTTTGTTTCTTTCGAGGGCTTTCCATCCCTCCCAGAAATTGCCTGACTTGGCACATCCAAGTCCAAGTGTGATTGTGAATTCTAAATGAGTGGGGCCTGGAGGAAGAAAATCCCCTCAGCCACACTGTGTGACTGGGCTCACACTTTTCCTTCCTGGGAACCTTGGTCTGTGCATCCGTCTTTATCTTTGGAGCACCTGGGTCTTTATCTTTGGAGCACTTGGGCTTAAGCATGAAGATCAGTGGATCCATGGAACCAAAGGAAAGTGCAAAGGACTAGTCTTCATTTCCAAACAAAATATGGAACGGTGGCACATGGAGTGACTCAGCCTGAACCCCAAACCTCAGGACAACAGAACTCTGACGAGGCTACCTGGGAAGAGGCTGCCGCTGTTACAGCCTGAAGCCCTGAGCACCTGACCTCGAAATCAAGCCCAATCAACAAGCATTTATTGAACACCTGCTAGAAGTACTTACAAGGCACTATGGTAAGCACATCAAGAACTTTGATCTCAAGGGCTGTACCACCTCTACGGGGTAGATGATGGGTGAGAACACTATTCCCATGCAACTGACCAGGGAAAGAAATCCCAGAGGAATTTAGGGACTTACGTTAAGGCCATGATGTCATGGCAAAGTGGGGACCAGACTTCAGACCCCTGATCTTCAGGTTGCACCATCTCCCCACCACGTGCCGGTCACCAGGAGAAAGTGTGGTCCTACTAAGATGAATTAAAAATTTTAAGTAATTATTCCTATACCTATTTAAGATGCACAGTTGGATAAGTTTTGATGTGTATGGAGCCATGATATTATCACCACAATCATGGTAATGAACATTTCCATCACTCCCAAAAGTTTCCCCAGGCAACAACTGACCTCTTTTCTGTCATTACAGATTAGTTTGCATTTTCTAGAATTTTATATAATGGAATCATGCAGTATGTACTTTTTTTGGGGGGGGGTGGGTTGCCTTCTTTTATTCAGCATAATTACTTTGAGATTTATCCATATTGTAGCATTTATCAATAGTTCATACCTTTTTATTGGTGAGCAGCATGCTATTGTATGGATATACCACAATTTATCTGTTCACATTTTGATGGACTTTAGTGTTTCCAGTTTTGACTATTACAAATAAAGCTGCTCTGAGCCTTTGTGAACAAGCCTTTGTATGGACATATGCTTTCATGCTTTGGGTAAATAACTAGGAGTGAAAGGCTCTATCATATAGTAGGTGTGTTTACCTTTCTGAGAAACTGGCAAACTATTTTTGAAAGTGATTGTACCATTTTACATCCCTACTAGCAGTGTATGAGAGTTCCAGTTGCTCCACATCCTCATCAACACTTGATATAGTCCGTCTTTATAATTTTAGCCATTCTAATAGGTGGGTAGTGGTATCTCATTGCAGGTTTAATTTGCATTTCTGTAATGACTAATAGTGTTGAGCATCTGAGTGAAATTATTTAGTATTATTGAGTTTTGAGCATTTGGTGATTATTTATCATACATATATGTTCTTTGATAATATATCTATCCAATTTTTTGCCTATTGATACATGCTACAACATGGATGAATCTCAAAGTAAACATGCTGAGTAAAATGATTTCTTACTATTGAGTTTTGAGAGTTCTTTGTACATTCTAAATGCAGGTCCTTTCTCAGACACATAATTTACAAATATTTCATTCTCAAAGCACTGTCTCTCAAAGAGCAGAAGTTTTAAATGTTGTTGAAGTCCCATTTATAACATTTTCTTTTCTGAATCATTCTTTCAGTGATAAAAGTTCACAAAGATTTATCTTTTATGATCTCCTCTAGAATTTTTATAGTTTCAGGTTTTAACTTAGGTCTATGATCCATTTTGAATTAATTTTTATATATAGTGTAAGGTATGGATAAAAGTTCTTTTTTTTTTGCGTATGGATTATACAGTTCTTCCAGCCCATATGTTAGAAGACTGTCCTTTCTCCACTGAATTGCTTTTGTCAAAAATCAGTTGTCTATATATGGGTGGGTAATTTTGTTCTTCTTTCCCAAAGTTGTTTTGGCTCTTCTAGATTCTTTGCATTTCCATAAAAATTTTAGAATCAGCTTATCAATTTCTTACAAAAAAGAAAAAGCCTACTGGGAGTTTGATTGGAATTGTGTTGAATCTATAGATCAATTTTGGGGGAATAAATATATTAACAGTAAAGACACTTCCAATCCATGAACATAGTATGTGTCTCTCCACTTACTTAGGTTTTCTTTAATTTCTGTCAGTGATTTCATGTAATTTTCAGTGTGCAGGTTTTGTACATTTTTTGTCAGATTTATTTCTAAGTTTTTCATATTTTTGATGCTATCCTAATTGGTATCATTTTAAAATTTCCATCTCTGATAATTCATTGGTAGTATATAGATACTGTATTCTGCAATCGTGTTAAACTCACTTATTCTAGTAGATTTTTTTATAAAAATAGATTCCATCAGATTTTCTATATAGAAAGTCATACCATCTGTAAATGAAGACAGTTTTATTTCTGCCTTTCCAGTCTGGATATGTTTCTTTCTTTTCCTCGCCTTACTCCATTGGCTAGAACTCATAGTACAATGTTGAATTGAACTCATTTTTTTTTTTTTCCTGATCTTAGGAGGAAAGCGTTCAGTCTTTCATAACTCTGTCTCTCTCTCCCCCAGAAATCCAGCTACCAAGATACCAGGAAGCCCAGAAAGCCCAGGCCATGAGTGTTTCAACTAACCCACAGCATCAACCATCAGAAATGTAAGTGATGTGCCTTTAGATGATTCTGGTGCTTGGCCTTCAGCCTTCAGCCTTCAGCCTTTGAGTCTTCTAGCTGAAGCCCCAGGTGTCTGAGCCCTACCTGAATTCCTGACCCACAGAAAACATGAGACTGTTATTGTTTCAAGCCACTATGCTTTGGGGTAATTTGCTACACAGCAACAGACAAACTGGTAATTAACATACAAGGTGATAAGTTGTTCTAATGGAAAAAGGTACCCAGTGTTTCAGGAACCTAGTGGTGAGAGGACCCCTCTCCCAAGCCTGGATAGAGCAGGGAAAGTTGTAAAGGCACATTTAAGCTGAGTTTGCAAGGCTGGATAGGAATTTGACAATTTGGGTGAGAAGAGCATGAAAGCACCTCAAGAAGGAAGACATGGAATTCTGAAAGTGCCTGGGGGTTGTGGCAGGCAACCCAGGCTATGCCAAGGGCTTGGGCCTTATAAAAACTTAGGTGAGAGAGAGCCAGCCAAGGGCCGTGACATAGACCAGAATGCAGGTGTTGAAAGGTGATCTGTTGCTCTCCTTTTCTCCAAGGAAGACACTAACTGACTCATCTGGGGAGGATATTTGCTTGGGATTGCTTTTCTGAAATTGGGAAAAGGTCTTACCTCTCTTGCCCAGCTGCCCCTGTGACCAACAGCACAGAGCTGTAAGTGCTGACCAGGATCAGCTGTGCTACTTATGCCACAGAGTAGAGAGGGGAAGCCACCTCACCTGGGAGGGACAGGGGTCAGAGCTGTGGTCTCGGCAGCATCGAGTTCCTTTGCTTCTCTAACCAACCATTGATTGGGATCCAGGTCAGCATATCAGTAACTGAACTTGAGACGTTTTACTTTAAAAAAATGTATTCATTCAGCATTCAAGTTTGGGTGCTACTGTAGAATCAGACCCAAACTGTTTGGGTGCTATTGTAGAGTCAGAGGAGCCCTGGTGGTGCAGTGGTTAAGAGCTACAGCTGCTAACCAAAAGGTTGGCAGTTCGAATCCACCAGCCGCTCCTTGGAAACCCTAGGGGGCAGTTCAGTTCTACTGTGTCCTGTGGGGTTGCTATGAGTCTGAATCTACTCGATGACAATGGGTTTGGTTTTGGTAGAATCAGAGAGTTGAATCTTACCAATTGATCCTCGTGTATCTGTCTGGCTGCCCCTAGGTCAGCCCTCCCCCTGGTTAGCCACTTCTCAGCTAACTCAGGGACTAAACTTTCCAGAGCCTTCCAGTTGCCACTGGGGGCCCCAAAATGGCAGGGCTATCACCCTCCCTCCGGAGACAGGGAAAGGAAATGAGGAACAGGCCGGGGCAGAGTCCCTGTCTCCCAGAAGGCAGCCTTGAAGGTGAGCATACGATTGGCGCGTAGATTCATTAAAAGGCAGTCTGTTTGGCAGGTGTAGAGGGCACGTGAGGCCCAAACTCTATTATTTCCTCTTTCTTCTCTGGAATCTCCACCCCATTTCTCTTGGCAAAAATCTGGTTTATCTCCACAAATGTTATGCCCTTGGTCTCAGGAATAACCACGTGGATGTAAACAGCAGTGAGGAGACAGATTACAGCAAAAATGATGAAACTGTAGGCACCAATGACCTCCTAGGCCAAGAAGCAAAGAAAGCAGGGGGGAATGGGGATGACCAGGACAGATGTAATGCTGGCCAGGCTCTCTGAGCCACACAGACGTTTCTTGGAGGCCAGTTTGTTTTACTTTCGGAGGAGGGGCACAGCTAGAAGATTGGGTCCTGCTCCCAAATGTCAACAAAGGAACCTAGCCTTTTGACAGGAGTCCTCGTGGTGGCAGTGGTGTAATCTTTGGAAAACAGCGCCTGTGGCAAGCATTGAGCTTGTGCCATGTCCAACCATCTGACACCCATCTTTTAGATAACTTTACCATCGTGTCAACTCAGAAAGGGAAATATTAGTTTTAACTTGCTGAACGATCTCTCACAGCTGGCCATGGAAACTGCAATGGTTAATAGAAACTGCTCTATGACGCCCCCCTCAAGTGGTGCCCAGGGCAAGTGCCATACCTGCAATATCTTAGATACGCCTCGGGGTGGCGCAGTGGCTAAGTGCCACAATGGTTAAGTGCTCAGCTGCTACCTGAAAGGTCAGCGGTTCAAACCCACCAGAGGCTCTGTGGGAGAAAAGACCTGGAGATCTACTCCCGTAATTACAGCCCAGGAAACCCTATCGGTCAGTTCTACTTGTCATATAGCGTCACTATGAGTTGGAATCAACTCAGCGGCACACAGCAACAGCAGCAGCAGCGTCTGCCTTTTGACAATGGGGACATCATGTCCACTGAGCCCTAAGATGTTGACAACATTGAGTTGATGGGCACATCCTCAGAAGAGAGGAAAGGGGGGGCAGGCGGGGTTCTCGCTCCTGCTCTAACTTGCTTTCTATTGCCTGTTGAACTCAGACCAGAGCCTCTGAGAAATGAACCCCATGCAGTCAGAGTGCCTGAACTCCCTTTGGTACGTGGGAAACTGGCCTGTTTACAGAGTTACCTGAAGTGGGTGTCACAGGTGTTTTAGGGAGCCATGGACGTGTCTGAGCCCACTCTTGCTGAATTAGCAAACATTCTTAGTAGAAGCGAGGCTACTGCTCCTTTGCTGGAGCCCTTTCTGCCTCGGGGGTGGGGCAGGGTGGGAGAGGGAGTGGGGAGGTGGCCGCCCACCCACACTGCCTGTGGGGACTTGTCCTCACTCACCTGGATAGAAGGGAACACAAAGCCGATGATGAAGTTGGTGAGCCAGTGCACAGCCCCGTCCACCGTGAATGCAGCTGGCCCGGATGACTGCAGGAAGATCTCAGTCCTCGCCATGGATGGGACAGGACCTTGGGGAAGAGAGCACAAGATGTGTGGACACAGAAGGGCTCCCAGGAGCCTGTATGGCTAATGTCTGTGTCCTGCTCTGGCCTCAAACCTAGACCCCCGCCCCCAGGCACCTCAAGTATCGTCCATTCCAGACGTCAGGAGAAGCAGCTGCTTTCTCTAAACAGGACAGCAGTGTCCGAGCGTGTGCTCCTCCCCTCCCTCGCTCCTCCTGGGCACACCTGGAGCTGAGCAGCACAGTGGTGGGGACAACCCTGTCAGAGGTCACTCGTACTACAAAAGATGGCTGAGAAGTCCACTTAGCAAAGTCGTCCTGGGGAGCCTAGGATTTAATTCCCCTTATTAAGTTTCTCCAAGCTCAAAGCTGCTCAATAAAGGTTTAGAGAAATGAAGTGAAGGCTTGGGTCCATGCAATGAATCGGCCTTATTCTTACAAATGTTGGAGTCCCTGGGTGATGCAAAGGGTTAATGTGCTCAGCTGCTAATCGAAAGGTTGGAGGTTCAAGGCCACCCAGGGGTACCTCAAAAGAAAGGCCTGGCATTCTACTTCCGAAAAATCAGACAGTGAAAACCCTACGGAGCACAGTTCACTCTGACACCCATGGTGTCACCGTGAGTTTGAGCTGATTGACAGCAGCTGGTTTGCTTACAGGTGCCAAGCATGTTCTCTCTGAGTGAGCATCCCTCTGGGATTCTTAGGGGAGCATTTGGGGGATGTGATGCTCATGAGCGCCTGTGCTAGGGAAGTGCTGCCCTCCTCTGGCAGATCTGAGGAATGTCAGATGCCTTCTGGTTATGCCTTCCTTTGGGTCTAAGTGAACTTTCAACTGTTTTCACCTTGTCCAAAATGTCTAGATATATTTTCCCCCTAATTGCCACCCCCTCCAATGAAATTTTCAATACCACAGATAGAATATATATCTGTTTATGTACTGTATGTATCTCTGTGGCTTTATATGTAAAAAAAAAAAAGTAAGATCTCCACCTCCCAAACCACCAATTTCCACCCCTTTGGGGTTGGTACAGGGAGCCCTGGTGTCGCAGTGGTCAAAGCACTCAGCTGCTAACTGAAAGGTCGGCAGGAGAAGGATGTGGCAGTCTGCTTCTGTAGAGATTACAGCCTTGGAAACCCTATGGGGCAGTTCTAACCTGTCCTAGGGTGGCTATGTGTTGGAATCAACTTGATGGCAACGGGTTTGGTTTTTGTTTGGGGTGGTACAGCCCTGGGTGGCGTAAATGGTTGGCACTGGACTACTAACCTAAAGGTTGGCGATTTGAACCCCCTTAGTGATCCCAAGGAAGAAAGGCCTGGTGATCTGCTTCCATAAAGATCACAACCAAGAAAACCCTATGGGGCAGTTCAACTCTGTAACACGTGGAGTTGCCATGAGTCAGAACTAACTAGAAGTCAACTGGTTTGGAGTGTTTTTGGGGGTGGGGGGTTGGAGGTGGTACGTGCTGTTGCAAGCGGGTGGTCTAATGCATGGAGAGAAGGAGTAATTCAAAGGCCCAGTGAAGCTGCCCTGGGGACTCCTGGGTGTGCTGAAGTGCAAAACTGTGTCAGCAGGGAGGGAGCCCCTTCTTCAGGGCTCTACTCAGAAGGTGGTACTGGTGAGGGGGTTACCTGCACAGCCCCCTGCCCTGCCTCCCTCTTTTCTGTGGGGGAGCGGCCACTATGTTCTCCGTTAGGACCTGGCTCAAGTGTCCTATCTCGCACCTGATGGCACAGGTGATCACCTGCATTCCCCAGGAGAAGTCTGGGGGCCAGAGGAGGGCAGGGGCTTGCTACAGGCTACCCCATAGGGAGGAAAGGGTAGAACAAGCCAGAACCCATCTCTACACACACATACCAGCCCATTCCCCAGAGGCCCTCCTGCGCCCCATCCCCCCAGTTGAGGTGCACCAGGAAGGCTTCCTGCTGAAAACCCCATTTCTCCAAGACCCTTAAATATTATTGTGTTGGTCTCATCCCTGGCTGCTCCCAGAGCTGGGCACAGTTGCCAACTAAGCAGTTTTCTGTTGATGCATGTTAAATGGGTTGGTGCCTTTATTCTGGTTTGTGAACAGCTCTTTCAAAACAAAGATTCTGCAGGGAACGTTGACATTAGAGTGCCAGCAGTCAAAGCTAGGAGCCCTGGTTGCACAATAGTTAAGCACTCAGCTGCTAACCAAAAAGTTGGCAGTTCAAACGCACCCAGTGACTCCTTGGGAGAAAGACTTGTGATCTGCTCCTGCAAAGATTACAGCCTAGAAAACCCTGTGGGGCAGTTTTACTCTGTGACATGGGGTCACCATGAGTCAGAATTAACTCTATGGCACCCAACAACATGAGTCAAAGCAGGGAGAACAAGGTGGCCACAGCGGGGAGAGGAACTTGGAGTCTGGGGCTGCTGAGAGGTAGGCCCAGAGCTGTGTGTACACGGAATAAGGCATCTTCCTACTGGACTCCTTTCTTTACTCCTAATCTTTTCGTCTCTGTTCCAGCCCACCACCACCCTCACCGACAGAGGGTGCTCAGCACTCAGCGAGGGCCTACTTGGTGCCCACGTTTACTATGTTACTCCTCGTTCTCCAACAACCCTAAAGGAGGAGAGGGTCATCACTGCCACAAAGTGAGGGCCACTCAGACCAGTATTTCATGAAAAGGGAGGGAAACGGTCTGAGGTCACCTTTGTCTCCAGCCCAGTCCTCAGAAGCTGCTCCTCCGGGAGAGAGAGGCAGGCTCCTCTGTCTTTCTGGCTTGAGTTTCTCCAAGTAGGAGAACGGAGACGGTGTAGTCAAAATTATTTCTCCTAGGGGAGGAGGGCTCAGATGGCAAAGAGTGGCCCTGCCCCAGAGGGAAAGCGGAGGGGAGCTAAGGGATCCAGCAGGAGGAAGGGGTGGGCAGACTCCTGGGAAGGGTCCGGAATTGGGCCGGGACCTGCTCCTCCTTCCCTCCCTCGGTTCTCCCACCATCTTCGCCTGATGTTTTTAACTCTCCTCCCTGGCATTGTGAGTCCCTGAAAGTTGACTGGGGCTTAAACTAAACCAAAAAAAAAAAAAAAAAAAAAAAA